GAGAGAGCTTGAGAGGCAAGACAGACTGAGAGAAAGCGAGAAAGAGAAAGAGAGAGAGAGAGAAAGCACGAGAGACGGAGAGAAACAGAGATAGCGAGATAGAGATAGAGAGCTAGAGAGAAAGAGAGTGGGGGGAGACTGTGATGGATATATTATATATATAATATGTAATATATACAGAGGAACTGTGGATTTTAGTTTTGCGGTATGGATCTGAGATAAGTTGGCCACGGGTCCTTGTGTAGGGTGAGGCGGAACGCAATAACCAGCGGAGGGTTTTCTTGTGAAAGGATGTGTTGTTTATATCGAGGTGAGTGTTGTCTCCCCACTGCAATGGCGTGCGTGCGCGGTGCGTGGCGGTGCAGGCGTAGCGTGCGTACGCGTTTGCCTTAGAACTATATTTGCTTATAGGTGTTACCACCGTGTCTAATCTATGTCCTGCTAGGCTTTGACGTATTAGCTTGTGATGATGATGCTGATGATGACGATGACGATGACGACAGTGATGTTGATGGTGGTGATGCTGATGATCGTGATGATGCTATTGATGATGTTGCTGGTGTTAATTGTGAGAGAATGCATACGTACATATAATCCTATTTATGCCTGTATTTGTTTACGGTGGGCGAACCATACTAGTGAACGCCGACCGCAGGCGAACATTTTTTAGTATGTAATAATCCACCATCAGCCAATGGACAACAAGCACATGCATAATTTCTGATCACTGAACCAGAGTGAACACAATGCGCTCAGACACAATGCGCGAAATCACAATGTATTTTTTTTCAGCACAACGGCACTGCGTTTTGTTGTGTCGTGCCGGGCCGCGTGTGTGGAGACATAGCTTTACTCGTTCGCCATCTAGACATTGCGACGAATATTTTGTGATTCAGGAAAACACTGTAGTTCAATCATTTAGGAGGAGCATTGCTAACAAAGCTGTTGCCGTCTTTTACAGGCTTGAATTGAGGTGAACAGATCAACTACTACATCCCAGTGGCACAAACCTATGCAGCTGCTACTATCTGTTGTCAGAAAATGGTGGACCCCTCTGCGAGCGTTGTAAATTATTTTGTCGGAACGATGAGTCGCCGCTACCATCACGTCTCGATAGTTACGATATGTAGGGAAAGAGTATATAATTTTTGTACGCGCGTATACGGTACCGCGACTGCGCGAATTTGCCATGACGATGCCACGCGCGCGTCTCGATTCGTGGCGCGTCGTCTTTCGAATGGAGGACTTGCGCGAGGCGAGTGTTCAATATGGTGGCGTTCGGTCGTCACTGTCGGCAGTAGGTGTGCGTCGCTGAACGAACCCAATCCCGTATCGCGATTTCACCGAGCGTATGCATCTCTGCCTGCCCTAAACAACACAGAGTCTTAGCTAACTCTTTCTGCCTTTGTGTGGGAGGGGTTGGGGGAAGCAGCAAAGCCAGTGGCTTATGTTTTAGGCAGTTGACCGTGGGCCAGCCATATTGACCATCTAATAGTATCTGCACATGCAGGACCATAGCTAGCGGAAGGTTTGTTAAAATCTTCGCCGAGTCGGGCGACGTTCGTGATCGGAGCTTTACCCTGAAAGTGTCAGAGAACCTCCTGCGGCCCCCTTCACTCTACATTGTCCGCAAACTTCTGTCTACCCAGCGTTCCGGAATCATTGCCTTGAATCTCAGCTAGCCAATGAGAACGCTTGTCTCGCTCTGCATCTGTGTGGGTGTGCTATCTCACATGCAGTCGCCCAATGGGCAGCAATATATGTATGTATATATTATATACATATACACACACATATATGGTCCCTTTACATGTGAAGGGGGGCACCTGTATAGAGGGGAGCAGTATGTAGATGAGATTAGTTCTCTTGTTGGATGGATACTTGATGGAGAGCTCACGTGATGTAATAATACATATAGGCAGCGCTGGGCTAGGCATCCCACCTCATCAATGGGTGTTGCCCACACTCTCTGCTTTCCTTGGATGCAGGAAGACGCAAGCAGCAGCCGCGTATGATAATGTGATACGGTCGCATGGCAACGTGCGTATAGTGTAAATTTTTGCGTGTAAAGGGTGAAATGTATAAGATAACGACGATAATATATTGCTGAGAATCGCGCACCATTTTGAATCTCACTAACGGTGTG